GGAAAACATTCTAAATAATTTCAGTCATAAGTTTGTTGTGATTGTCATTCAACCCAGAACCTCCAGCATGCACCACTTTGCATGGAGCCATAGTGGTGGAGTGTCCTCTATGGCAAAGTTCCACTAGGCTCTTTGTCTCCTCACATACTATCAGTAAATTCTTACATCATATATCAGTTCGCATTGCATTACAGGAACATGTACAGTATTATCTCTTCCAGTGTTAATTTAATTTAGTGCCTTCTATTTGCCTGTGGCGATACTCTACCTCTGGCACAAGGACACACTTTCCCCTTGGGGAGAAGCTTTTACTGGCAGCTTTATTCCAGACTCACCATCAAAAACTGTCTGAGGGCTGTGGTGCTGAACACAAAAAGAAGAAAACAGGTGACAACTACCACACCTCCTGATAATGTATTCCAACTTTGGCTTTTTTATGTTTTCATAGAATATATGCATCCTTCTTTGGTATGCTCAGTGAGTCTGACATCTTCGTGCCAAAGAAAAGTGTGTCATCGTCTCACATTTGCACATTTAAAGTGTATGTCATACACTTGCTTCTCCTCATCCTGAAGGCAGATTTGATACCAATCTGCATCTACATAGGACAACATTAAGATTACAATAGTTAGTCTACAGCAACAGATGCTTAAAAATTTACAGTTGATTTTAAGATCTAAAGTTTGGTATATATTACATTTTTAAAATGTTATGCATCCTCGTAATGTCCAAAATAATTTTTCCTTTATAACATGCACCATTATCTTTAGCATTTGCCTGCTAAGCCGCACAACTTTAACCTCTAAATCGATCTAAAAAGGTCAAAACTGAAAAATATACTTTGGTTTGACCTTTAGGTGATTTTCATGTCAGCTACTGTATCAGAGGAAGAAGCATTGTGGATGACTTGAAGTAATATCTTGACTTATAAATTCTTGACTGGAATTGTTAATGGTATAATTTCTATTTATTTAACACAGCGATAATCCTACTCGTCATGTTAAACCCCCACATGCAACAAGACCTTTGAATCTTATTGTACTTGGAGTACAAGGTACCACAGTACTGATGTGGAAGTAGGTCTTAAGCTCACATTTGCATGTTTATTTTCGGAGCCTTATTAGCAATGGCAAACATGAATATTTGGCACGGGGGGGTGGGGGGAGATGGTGAAGGAAATGTTGCATAACAAAATAGACTGAAGTGTTTCAACACTGTTCTGACATCTTTACTTGTCTTATGTTGGAAAACAACCAACCATCTATTACAGTTGCTGCGCTGTGGCTTGAAGGAGATGACGACGTCAGAGGGTAGAAATCGTTAAAACCTTTACTTTTCTGTACTTTAGAACTGAAGAGCTCAGCATTTATTGTCATGAGGACATTGATCCGGCATTGCTTGGAGGGGTGATTGATCAAGAGCAGTGTTTACACTCAGTAAACATCTGCCTTATACAGTATTTATTCAAGTAACAACTTTTCCCCCTTTAGTTCTATCCAGGAATGTGTATGGATGATATCTGGGTTGATTCAGTATAGTATGAATATAGTAATGGTACAGCAGCAAACTCTGCAGCTATTTGCAGCTTTCAACTCATTGTCTTGGTTCATCAGGCCATATGGTGAATTTCCAGAAAATACAACCGTGGGTTGGCATTTTCAGCAAACAACCTCACACAAGCTGACTGTACCCAGCATGAAATACATCGATTCAAAATAAACGAATGACTGGTGAAGAGAGGTGAACATTTATCTAGCCAAAGAGAGTTTTGTTTTCTTAGGACTTAGGAGCAAACAGAAGAAAACAGATTAGTGGATACTGGACTTGCATTTGACAGGTAGAAAGAAAGAATGGGGCTTTAATCTGATAAATATAGATGTAGATGACAGTTAAAGTCATTTGAATTGTATTTAATATGCTCACAGTTTATTAAAGCAAAGTGTTTTATCTCCCACAAAATTAAAGGATATCTTTTGGCAGCGTGTGCACATCACTGTTGAAAAAGTTCAAGTTGTGCCCAGGTTCTTGAAATTATTCTGCATTTCCATGAGATACAATCTTCTTGTGGAATGCAGACAGACTATCTTATGCCATGAAAAAAAAGAAAAGGTGTTAAATGCCTCCTGTTCAGTACAATGTGAACAGTTTCATCTTTACAATACAGCTGCATTGGCTTTACTTTGGGGACTTTCTGTTCCCTTGTGGTTAAAAATCCTTTAATGCAGCTTCGACGGTAGGTTCAGTTTAGTTATTTTCAGATTACTTGTTGCAAGCTGTTTTCAAAATAATTAATGTTAGTGATTACTGTCCTGGTAAAGCACCTCTCACAAAGCTCAAGCACACCTGGAGACCCTGCCGAGCAGCGATGATATTAACATGGCAGTTATTTCTGAGTCAGATGATAATGTTTTTCAGATTTCCTGGTTGGACTTCCCTCAGGCAAAGGCAACAACCTTTCAATAAAAATACTCACAAACCTGTAATCATTCTTTCACACAACAGGCACTCAACTCAAGCGAACCTGGCAGACAGTGCCTCTAGGTTAGGCCCTCCAGTCTTTCCTGCGTCCTATAGGCAGTCATTCAACTGTTGCTAATTATAGTCCAGAGGGTAGTTACTACTCCCAGTCTTCAGGGTTACTTGATGCTGCTGTTGCACAGGCAGCACGCTCAAAATAATTGTACCAGGCCAACCACTAACACTGTAATGTGACAAGAAACACACACTGATACTCCCTTAGATCATTTAATTATTCCCAGAGCCTTAGCAGTCTCCTCTCTGTAAAATTATATGTCATTAAATTATCAGTTACAATCAAAAGTTTGCTTTATTTCCATTTGTCAAACCCAATGATCACTGAGTTTGAATTAGATGTTTAATTTCCTGACTGACTGATTTCAAATTTCCTCCACTTAGCATTTATTTTTCTAAGAAAATGTGTCATTTACAATGCACTTTTTTAGATGAAGATTCAGGCCCTTGAATTTCAGATAGGTACTAATCAGCTATTTTTTCAATTCAGCACCATTCAGCACAGCTCTTCCCTCAGAGAAAATTTATTGCCATGTATTTTTCAAAGAGCTGCATTTTTTAAGTGATACTGTATATACAGCAGAGCTGAAGTGGATGGCAAACTGGGACGTGAGGGGGAGCAGATATGCAGGAACATATCAGGAAGAAGACAAAGTGAGAAGGCCCAAAGCAAGAACTCATGCCTACTGATTAACAGCTTGTGTAAGGTACATAAATTTGCAATGCACATATAATCACACTGTTTTTAAGAATGTCTTTCATACATACTGTTTCATATACAGTATGTGGGTTTTGCACTACAATAGTAAATAATCTAGAGTCTTTGTGGACTAACATCCCAGTAATTATAGCTAACAGATCATACTATGACCAGGAGCGGATCTAGAAAATTTTGTATGGGGTGGCCAGGAGTCAACGAGGGGTGGCATATTTGATATACATGTAAAAAGTAAATGAAATCCTTAATTTTATAAAATAACAAACCATACATTATAGTCAGGGCCGCTCGGCGGCCACTGCCTCTCCTCCGTCTTTCTCTCCTCTGCTCTCTCTGTCATGTGGGCTCTGCACCTCAGCTGTGTTGCATTCCAGTAATTAGCAACTGGTTTGTCGATGCACACAGCTGGGGTGCATCCCGATGATTACCTTCGCCTCCTTATGTAAACCTCTGGCAGACGCTCTGTCTTTGCCGGAACATTAACATAGTAACGCGGACTGTACATGTTGGTAGAATGCTACGCTGACAGACACTGCGCGTTTTGGCTTGACTCTACCACACTACCTACGCGCTACGCTAATTCCCACTACACTACATATTTTTGATTTGTCTCCGGAGCATTGCTATATGTTATGGACAATACTTACCCTGTTTCCTGCCGTTAGTTTGTGTGTTTACCTGTTCGTCCTGGTCTCCTTAGTTATCACTGCCCTTCCCTGGTTCACCTGGGTCAGCTATCTTGAGTCCAACCCCAGTTCTCCCTCACCCTCCTGGTGAGGGGGACTAACCATAACAATTATTATCAATCAAATTGTTTATTTTGTGTAAAAATAAGCAACACATAGTGCTTTCTTTAGCTAACTTTGTCTGTGCTTCTTATTTACTTATTTACTTCTTTACTACTTATTTACCACGCCCCCACCCCAGGCCACCCCTTGGCTCAACCCATGACTATTACCGAATATACACAATAACAAAACATGCCGGCTTTCAAATATGAAGAACCATAACTATGCAGTGTGACAGATAAACAGCAGATACAGACTTAATAATGTGGGCAAAAATGCTGTCACAGCCACTAAAATGGTCTGAGACTACAGTTGTTTCTTCACCAAATGTAATCTCCTTAACTGACAGCATTTTAGTTATGGCTGCCACATTATGCAATATGTCAAAGCACGCCAACGAGTTTGGTCTATTTATTGTCTGTTATGAGTGACTGACCTGAGTGAATCACAAAAAAAGACAGAAAATAAAATTGCAAGAAAAGATCAAAAGAGGACATTGTAAGAGCCCCTTCTTAACACTTACCATCAAAATGTGCCTCTTAACAAAAAGGTTATATCAGACAAGATGTATGCCAAGGTTAATACATGAAAAGGCAAGTTTATAAAACTGCTATCACTATTAAAAGTTTTGTCAGAACAAATTAAAGACAGATCACATTTGCTCCCGATGTGCACCTTAGTCATGTCTGCATGCAAACATTTCTTGAAAATTGCTTAGTTTGGCTGCATGGATCAGAGCTGTATCTAATGCAGCCATAGCATCTCTGATCTCTCAGTCAGTGGTGTGTATAATTATAGACTGTGTTTCCCTATGAACACTTTCTGTCAGGCTGGGGAGAAAAAGCAGTGGTTTGAAGGACAATGACCCTGAGATTAATGCTTAGAGGCGTCTGGGCAAAGAGAAGAAACATCTGGTGAGAAAGTAAGTACATGCCTCACTCAACACAGGCACCAGCACTCACCTGCAGTGTCTGTGGACCCCAGCCACAGTTTCAATGATGGAGCACTCGCCCTCATTTAGACAAAAGGCCAGATCTTTGTCTTCCACACATGGCTTGAAGACCTCTGAACGTAGACTAGGAAGTGTAGGGGCCACTGCTGGAGATGGAGACAAAGGGGAGACAGGTTTAGTTACAGCTGGAAAGGAAAACAACACAAAAAAGTGATTTCGCTCATCCTTTCAACTTTGCTTCTTAAATCTTAGCTAATTCACCCTGGAAGCTCCTCATTCCTTTAAGCTCTATGATGTACTCCTTTACAAGGCTGTTATGGATCTACTTTTTCTTCTACAATGATTTCTCCTCAGGCTGGAAGAGAAGCCTTCATTCCTTATTGATTTCTGAAACTCAGAGGGCTAAAGGCAGGATTGCCCTTGGAACAACTTTCTTCATCAAGGACTGAGTAAAATTAGCCTTTACTGCCTAAAGATTTGCAACTTTGACCTGATGCAATAGAGAAAGTGAAGTAATGATGTGAAGCATGTGATGACTGCATTACCAGGCTCTGGTATTCTTACTGTTATCAAATGCATCCTGGTGTCTGTTTTTGCCATTTGTTTCAAATTAAGTAGTTTAACCACAATCCTTTAGTGAATTTCCTGATTTGCTGCTTTAGTAAATGAATTGTTAAAACAGAAATAAACTAAAGCTAAGGACTTAAGGCTATAACAATGTTACACTACACAGAGGCACAGGAGTAAGGGATGGGCCCAGTGATATAGCTTTAATTTGCTTCTTCAAGTCTGACCCTGAGCCGTTCTCACATAAAGAGCATGTGTGCTGTGTACTGTACAAGCACTGCAATGCAGGGCCCCCCTGTAAAAAAAAAAAAGCACAGCTGTTGGGTGCTTACAGCAATGTATGAATACTGTATACTAGCATGTGCAACCACAGGCTAATGTATGCAGGTATTCTATTAGGATATATTTATGCACACACATACACAGTAACACAGAGATTATAAACCTCAGAAGTTCTTTCACTCCATCATGTAGTCAACCTGTGAAAATTAGATGACTGGCATTACACACATTACAGTACTCTGCCAACACAATTGGATTACACATCTGATTCTACTTTCATCCATTTATATTATGCACTTAGACAAACCATTTCAGTGCACACACATAAATTCACACAGCATATTTTTCTAATTGTCACTCTGCCTCTATCATCTTTTTGCACCAGCCTGCCAAATCTTTGTTGCACAGTCAGCTTTGTGTCATACTGCTGCTGGCCAATGGTCTTTTTAGCCGCGTTTCTAGCGACCAATCACGTGCGGCAGAATGAAAACTCTGTAATCCATTTGTTGTGCACAGGTGTCCAGTTCAATCTATGCTTTGTTTACGGCCATCGATCGATAAATCTGGAGCTCTTGATGTAAGGCCTGAGAGATGATGAGATCAGAGGGAACACAAAAAGCGATATGTGGTGCTCCCAGGGCCAAACGAGACTCCACTCTGTCAGAGTACAACCTTTGGAAGATATCATTTAAACTACTTAGTGCACTGGCTCAGACAGATCATACTGTATCTTCAGATGCATTTAGGGTCTCTTTATTTTTTTTCAAACTCATGAAGACCATGTATTCAAAAGTAAAGAAAGGTAATATGTCCACATTCTGCATGTTTTGCACATCTTCCTTTTTGATTGCTTCTTGATTTTTATATGTATTCTTATGAATCCCCCCAAGAGTGTGATATATATTGTGTATATATATAAGTAAGCCACAAACCCAAGATGACTGTGTCACCATCTAGGCTTTAAAAGCCACTGTATTACATCTTGCAATATTAAATCCACAAATTCTCAGAGTGGAAGGTTACTTCTTTCAAGGTGCAACTTGAAAGAAGTTGGTACACAGATTCCCAGCAATATCTATCATGGCACTGAAGTCCCGTGTACTGTAGCTTTTATTCAGACTACACGTGAAAAATAACACACTTGATAAACAAAGACAATGTCGGCTATGCTAGGTCAGTAGTTCAGTTTTAATCACACGAGGCAGAGCTTTTCTGACAAAAGAGAAAATTGATTTTGTGCTGCAAGCCTGACCATTGATATTTACACTAGAAAAGCCAAGGTAATGCAGATATCAAACACCCTTTTAGTACCTGGATCTTATCTGTGTTCAAATGTTTCTAAAACGATTTTTTTTAACCCCGTCATCTTTGATCAACCCAAGAGGCAACATAGAAAGCTGTTACTGATCTGCCTTTGCTCTATTTTTTCCTGTATGCAGAGTAAAGCGGTTCGAGCGCACCATCACTGCATTTGTCACATGTTGACAGAGCAGCAGGGCAGGATGTGAGATACACAAGGTCACTGTGGCACTACTGACACAGCACTTTTGGAATCGATGATGATGTATGATGTCTCAGTATATTTTTTCGTGGGGGGACAAAGCTCCCACAAAACTCCAAGCCACGTCAAAGCAACACCTCTTTTTCAGACAGTGAATGTGCCAGTTTCATACTCAGAAGGAGGGAGGCAGACACGAGTGCCTTAAATTAAACATACTGTATTATGGCGTACTTCAAAGGATTTCTAGAATAGATGGTCTTTGAAATCCCCTGTGGTTTTTAACACTGCACCTATACCACTACCCAATTATTGATAAAACCTATAAGGCAAGCAAGTGAACGCACACAGAATACAGCACAGTGCGACGTCTCTCAGCTGTCATTCTCCAAAATACAGGCTCTGCTATTCCTCACCTAGTCCAAGGTCTATAAGCCAACAACTTGTAACGAATTCTTTTCAAAAATCCTAAAAAAAACCAACAACAGCCAAAAAACAAACCCTGAAGTCTTAAAGGATTGCTTCCACACCTTTAGCCCTATTGGCCACATCAAGAACAAGTCATCTTCAGATATGTTTGGCCTTGAGCAATACACACTGTCAATTTCTTACGGGTTGCCTTTTCATCATTGTGACAGGAAAGAAATAGTAAAAAAAATCTAGAGTAGAGCAATCACCGCTCTGCCACTTCTGAACAACCACCCAATCCTCTTGAAATGCCATGTTCTTTAAATATTTCTCTTTCAGAAATAAAGCCAAAATAACAGAGCAACCAGCAATGAGATGCTTGAAATTGAGAGCAGAATGGTGATAACATAGGATCGTAGGTTTCCATTTGATATTTTTTCTTTTGCCGACTATCAAGGGATTGACCCTGAATAGACCGGAGCAAACCCTGCAATTGATCCAAGCAATTAAAGCCAGAGCAGACCAGTAGTGAAGACATATGAATGGCATCCAATATTATTACTCATCTTCATTGCTGAGTTAATAGCTGATAAATAATGTAGACAATGCTGAGCGATAAAGATAATAATAGTTATTATTAAGATGTAATGGCATGACTAATAATGACAAACATAAAAATAGCCATTAGGTTCATTTATTAACACTTTTAATGAGACCTTTTGAAAAAATAAAAGCTGCACAATGCAAAAAGCATCCAGCAAACTATGACAGTCAGACTGTTAGGTAGCTGTCCAATAATAATAAAAATAAAATGGTAGAAGATGTGCTAATAAATGGTAGCTTCAGTGGGAGCATGATTCATCCTAGACTCTTTGAAATCATTTTCACGTCTCTCACCCTCCCCACTGCACAAAGGCAATCCAGATTGCTGATTCCCCTGGTAACTTTCAAGGAATCTACTGGCTGGAGATCACAGATTCGGATGATGCTTGAGAGATCAGACTTATCTGAGAGGAATACTGAGGCTCATACTTCTTCTCAGTCACTACTATTGAATTGCTTTCAATCAATACCTTCAAAAAGTCTTAACAGCTTAAACTAAATATAGGATTTTTTTCATCCTGAAGTATAGCTTTATTTCATATAGGAGAACATCACCACATGCAGATCTTTTACCGCAAAGGTTACAACAATGCCACAAACAAGTAATTAATTAAAACAGAAATTAGTGAATGAAAACAAAGCTGAGTGCATGCTGCTCTTACAACTAAAATTTGCCATTTAAAAAGACATTTTGGACTCGGACACATCACGTTTTATGCAATAAAAGGAAAAAGGTACTACATGTTCATCTCTACATACAGATAGAACCAATCAAAGTATACTAAAAGTGGGTCAGTCTCTGCACCCAGATATCAGTATGGATGTGGGTTTTCGCTGAGTTTTCAATACCAAGACATTTTTGATGTTCGCCTACAACTTCTGCTTTAAAAGGTTCTTTAGTATTTATACCATTTTAAGACGGTTCCATAAAAAAAAAAAGCATTATTTTTTAACCCACACACATACCTTGACACACTGTAGCCAACGCTGTTTTTCAGGGAGATAGAATTGTTATGCAACACTTCTTTAAGCCCTGTGATTATCTTAAATGGAATAAATGGTGAAGGCTCCATTTGAAATACTGTTATTGTCACTGGCACATGTCACCTCAGTTTTACTGTCCCATTTTCATGTTTTAGCTTCCGTTCTTGATTACCTTCTGCTGTTAATTATTGTGCGGCTCAAAGTGATGGCTACAGTAGATTAGTTTTTTGCAGCCCTGACCCAATCCCCATTTTAAAATCTTACATTATGCTCTTGTGAAGTTTAAACAAGCTTTTATGCAACTGTGCTATGGAGGCATCCATATTCTGTACAGTATATGTACTGCACACACTCAGACTGTATGGATGGAATATATTTCCTTTCTCTCTTACTGTAGATGGTGCATCCTTGGTACAGACAACACAAGAGACAATTTTATTTACAACTGCAGCATTTTCCTTCTATGGGTTCCTTCTAATGTGCTCATTAGTGTTCTTGTGCTGAGCCTTATGCCCCCAGGAGACTCTGGTCAGGAGAGAACTGGCTGTGTTTACTGCAGCACACATCAAAGTGGGCCTTACTACGTAAAGAGAAACTCCTAAGAGACTGCTGATTGCTTACCCATCATGCACAGCTGCCCTTTGGACAGAACCAAATTCTGAGGAATATACAGAGCAGTGGGTAAAGGCAACACATTGTCCTGGCAATGCCATCTCTCACAAAGGTTTGGAAATGACTTGATATTTTTCTGTCTCTCTCTCTCTAAAGTAACATTTTAACTGCTGTGACAGGAATAGTTAAATG